GGACGCCATCAAGTAGTCCTTAGGATTTTGTCTGCTCTATTCTACGCAACGCCGGCCCGTTTAGTCCCATTTGAACCGGACGGAAAAGGGAGTCGCGATATGCAGTGTGTGAAACATTGCCGCCAAATTACTTCGAATGCCCGCCTTGTCGTCTTTAACCAGGGCACGCTCGGTTCCTAGCGCTCCGTTGATATTTCTGTGAAGGGAAATTATACATTGCCAAAACTTGGCCCTCTCCGAGCGGCGGCGAATGCCCGTCGCGCCGACCAAACATTCATGCTTAGAAAAGTGTGGACGCCAATGAGCAAAGACAATTAATTAAACGTTTAATTTTACTCATTTTAACTGTACAAAACTCTTGGTCATTGTAAATATTTTTTTCTTTGCAAGCCCCTGCATTAGCTTTCGGGTATATAAGTTACCTGAAAATTATACTTAATCAAGGCCACCAACTCCGTGGAGGGCATGCGTCAGTTAGGTAGAAAACTTAACATTTCTGGCACAAATGAGACGGATTCCCCCGGAATGAGATAAGAATGATTACACCGACACCGTGCGTGTTGGTGCCCCGAATAACGCACAACGCTGGTACACTGTTGCAATCGCTGGCGCCTGCCAGCCTGTTAGAATCCTGCCCATCTGCATAGGAGGCTCCTACTCTCAGGCCTCGCCGGTCTCTATGAGCGAGAACAAGGAAGACACAACTCCGAGGAATGGGAAAAGTATAAAACGACAATTAATTATAGAACCGATGTTGGATATTTTAAAATTGATTAATAAAAAACAAATAATCACCGGTATCTCCGTTCTCCCTCTAAACCAAGTGTATTAAACCCTATATAGCACTCCCTAAACCTACAAAACAGGCCGGGACAAGAGGTAGATGTGCGGTGTCGCATCAACCTACGATATTGTTCACTGTGGCGTGCCTCTGACCGGGAGTCGTAGGTCGAAGTCACCGGACAGCTATGTATCAGCTTAAGATCGAATTCACACGTGTACGCTATGTAGGCGGCCACGAGGGAATATCTATTCAGTGAGAGGAAATCGAGAGCGTGCTAGTCCCTGATTGAAGTATTTTGTCTCCGGTGGTTGCTTGGGCACCAGATACAACACCAGCGAATGCCGAGCAGGTACCATAACAAAACGGGGCAGCGCGACCGTAGTAACTGAGTTCGCAACCTATACTTTTCTCCCTCACATCTGCTCCGTAATTCGCTCTTCATCCTTTCTACACACAATTTAACATCTAAAACAATACAAACCCTACTACGACATTTCCGGGACGTAATGTTCAGAGTCCTAGAGCGTCTGTCCCGGCGTGCGGAACGTGTGCCTGTTGCCGAGTGAAGCAACTTCTACCTGGTTGTCTAGCCAAATTAAAAACAATCCTGTGTTACATATCAGGAGAGAATAACTAGCTCATTAGATTTGTATGTAGACGTTTTAATGAAGTGCTGTAATTTGACTCCTCGTAAGAAACTAAGCACATGCTTCTCCAACCTATTTATGTATCTATATGCTAGTCAATGAAATCTCTCTACTCTCAGTGCACCTGAACGCATGTATTATATCGACTTATATCTATAGTAAAATACCTCGGTATATATGATGAGAGAGATAAGAATTACCTGGAGGCATTCCAACAGATGGAGATGGTTGAGTTTCCCACCCTTGTAAACAAAACCCAGGAGAGTGGACGCGTGGCCCCATCGGCGAGGGGGCTAGAAAAAGGTACGAGAAGAGAGAGAGGAGAGAGAGCGAGGTGCTCTGTCCTATATTTTTAGGGTGTTAACTTAAAGTGGTGGATGCTTTAGGGCAATCATGTTGCATTAAAATCAAAGTGGTTGTTCAGAGCATATGTGAATTCTGTCCTCCATTTTTTAAAAAAACATGTGTTTTCTTCAGTTTTTTCGAGAACATGCTTACCGGAGTACCGCAACTCGCTTTGAAAGTCCGCTAACTCACGCAAAATACTGACTGACTCTTACGGCTGCAGATAAATTTGTTCTACAGTCAGAGTTGACTCGATTGGCGTCTTTTTGTCTTAATTGCGATATTGTGCCACAGGAACGATGTATCTCGCGTTACCTGCCACCGACATCACCTCAAAATGGATCTGGTACTGACTAGAAAGCAGAGAAACCAAGATAGCACGAGAGCGCATGTAGGAAAACCGATTATCTTCTTTTTTCTACGCAGCAAGCTACACTGTCAATCTTTTACCTTTTCGACCCGGATCCACACAGTCCACCCCCTTGTTAGTTAAAGCACATGCCACAATTAATTGCAAATAGACTAAAAATTTTGAATTGTTTCAGTGTGTGAGTTATCGCCGTCAAGCCTACTTTACATATCAAACACAGCATATTGCACACTCATTTACTAATAATTAAAAAACAAAGTATAAAAAAAGATATATCTACTCTCGGTGAAGTGCGCGAGTATCAAAGCGAATACTGCAATGCCCAAGCTGTTTAGCACATGATATTCATCGATATACTGGTGGCGCCATCACATATCCTACTGAGAGACCATAGGCTCCCCATGTAAAGCTGTCTCTGTGACACGTGGCGAATACCTTAATTTCGTGAACTACCTCCACATCATGTGTGCGACTCCATGATTTTTTGCAAAAACTATCAAAGATCTTCATCCCTTGTCTTTTCGATTTCAGATTTTACAGAAAAGTTAAGATTGCACTTGCGTTGTACGAAGACAAACAAGAATACTTCACTATGGTTATACTATATTAGAAGCATATCTCTTAGTGTATACCAGACCCACCACGTTAGGGGCACGACTTTTAATAAAAGTACCAGTAAACTCACCTGATAAAACAGTTACTTGTGGCTGGAAAATGATCATACTACTTTTCATTTTCTTATTCAACAAACAAATTAGAAATTGCATCTTCGTACTCCTCCTCCTGTTTGTACAAACGAGTTTAAAGAGATTTACTGATATTAAATAGCCCCCGAAATTATGGTAATATCACGATGATTTAATATAAGAATGAACGTGGTGTCGTGAATATATTGTCAATGACAAAACTGCTTCAAGAATTCTATTCGTCATGATAAGAAACTGCTATCTGTTCACAGAAGTGGTTTGAAGTCCTTGGGTTTTTATAATGTATGGCGAATAGTACTTCACAGTTGAATACATATTGACGAAACTAGGGCATATTTGATGAGACCATTGGATTTTTTTCTAATTAAAACTTATAATGTATTTTATTTTAAAAATACAGCTTGAGCAATAGTGAGGGGACCTCACTTCTCTGCCTCCCAGGCATCTCATGGTGTCTATTCGACTTTCAAATTGAGACTAACATTATTCATACCCACTTAGTATGGCGAAAAACAATTGAAAAAAAAATTTAACAAATCATATTTTTCTTCTATTCAATTGGATATGGTCAAAAATTTTGGGGGTCTAATTACATTTCCATTCGTTTCTGATTCTAGTATGAGGATTTCTCCCAAGTACCGATGCGACATTTTTATGTCAAGCAGCTTTCGTGAACGATCTTTTCGATTCGTGAACTCAATTTAATTTACTAATTGTATTTTTGTGCGTAATTATCGTCGTACGAGGATAATCTTGAACATTTCTTTTTTAGCAAAAATTGACTTAGAACTAAATGCATAGCCTTCCTGACTGCAATGTTTCTTAATGCTTAACTGTTCCGAATTCGGCTGTCGTGAGCGAAAGTGCCTTACTATGCGAGATACTTAGGACCGTACCTTGCCATACCAATTTCATATTTAAGTGTAGCATATTAATCCTCAACGTTACAACATCTTGTGAATTTTGAAGTGCGTCTTTCATTAGCCTCCCCAATAGCTCGCCTCTAATGCGCATCTGTAGAGTGAAGCCAAATGTGCGCCCTGCGTTCTGCGAGTAAGTATTTGCTGGGTACACCTTTTATCTTAAATATAAATCACTTACTGTAGCGATTGAGCTACCATCGCCAAAAGTATATATCGCTTATTTAGAAGCGGACACGAAATCAGTATTTATAATACAATTAAAGAAGCAAATGTTATATATAACACGGAAAAAACAGAGGAGGTTATAACAATATGCATATCGTTAATTTACCTATTACAGGCTGTATCCACGTAGCTGTGCCCCTGAACGGATACTAAAAATCTAGAAAAGCGTTTTTTCTTGTGATAATAATATGGAAAAAATAGTTCTTGAGATGAAGGGATACATACGTAAAGAGAGTGCTCCTGAATGAGTGAGAGGTAAATTAACATAGAGTTTAGGTGACTCTATCTAATATCTTCATCGATTTTTGTTTTCCTGAAAGCTAGCATTCCGTAGACACTCGTCCTATGTGGCTCCCCTTGCTTATATCTCTACCTACAATGGCGTTGGGCTATAATTTGCTCTTTTATAGAGAACACACCTTACCCTTCGTTTTGGACTTTCGTTAACTTCCTCTTGGAGATCCAAACGACCTTCATTCAATCTGAGTTTTTATTATTCGAGACGTATAAGGGACGACTAAATTGACCATCCGCAAAATACATGTTCTCTCGTCCGAGGCCCAGTTTTAGCGAGACCATTCTATCCTGGAGAGATCCATGCTGGAACATTCGGTGACCCTTTTCGGCTGCATCCATTCGTCTAAGACGAAGCAGTTGATCTAGCCGGATGTTGATATCACTATGAGAGAAGAGAGAGATATGACTAGGTATGTATAATAGAAATGTTTAGTCATTACTATTTACCTATCTGTCCAAATAGACGAATGACGAAGCTATAGAGTATTTGAAGGGTATCCTTACATGGATAATCCGATGTAGTCGACTAGGTCGTATACGGTGTGATAGTGCATGAGCAGTGTCGTTCTGGGCTTGGTCTTTGAGACACCTATCCCAGTGATTCGCGCAACTTATTCGACTAGTTAGGGACGTCACAACGCTGATTAACCTCAGGTCAGGATGGTCTTACCGCCCGCAATTACCCGTTTGTCGTACCATAGTCCCGACTCCCCGATTGCGACTTCCAGCGCACTTACTGGTCGCCTGAGCGAGCACCCGGAGTTCACCGTGGCCCTCCTGGAGGCCGGAGGCCCCGAGCCGACCGCCACCCAGATCCCCGGCACGTACTTCAGCTACCTCAAGTCCGACATCGACTGGAACTACCCCCTGGAGCCCCAGACCAACGCATTCCTTGGCGCTGCTGACGGTCGCGGGTACTGGCCCCGCGGGAAGGTGATGGGCGGCACGGGCGTGCTGCACGGGATGATGTACATGCGCGGGAACAAGTGGGACTACGACAACTGGGCCGCTCTCGGCAACGAGGGCTGGAGCTTCGACGAAGTGCTGCCGTACTTCAAGAAGTCCGAGGACAACCGCCAGATCGGCACCTACGCCGAGGCCGACTACCACGGCACGGGCGGCCCCGTCACCATCGAGCAATTCCACGACCACCCCCCGCTCGCCGACTACATCCTGGCCGGCGCCAAGGAGCTGGGTTACCGCGCGCTCGTCGACCTGGCCGGCCACAACCAGACCGGCTTCACCCTCGCCCAGTCCACCACCCGCGACGGCGCTCGCCTCAGCCTGTCCAAGGCCTTCCTGCACTCCGCCGTCTACCGCTCCAACCTCAAGATCAGCCAGCACTCGCTGGCCACCAAGATCCTCGTCGACCCGGCCACCAAGCGCGCCACGGGCGTGCAGTACGAGCGCGACGGTGTGCTTCACAACGTGTACGCGCGCAAGGAGGTGATCGTGAGCGCGGGCGCCGTCGCCTCCCCGCAGCTGCTTCTGCTCTCCGGCATCGGCCCCAAGGCCGACCTCGAGGCCTTGGGCATCGCCGTGCTGGCCGACCTGCCCGTGGGCGAGAACCTGCTCAACCACGTCTCCTTCACCCTCAAGTTCCGCATCTTCAGCGAGATCGCTCACGAGACGCTCAGCAACAGCACCGTCTACGAGTTCATCACCAACCGCACCGGCCCGCTCACCTCCACCGGCCTGTCCCAGCTCACCGGCTTCATCCGGTCGTCCGTGCCCGGCGGCGACGCCCCCGCCGACGTGCCCGACACCCAGATCTTCTTCGCCGGATTCCTGGCCAACGCCTCGCGCACCGGCGCCGACGACGAGCAGCCCATCACGGGCCCCGTGCCTTACTTCGAGATCACGCCCACGCTCCTGCGCCCGTCCAGCGCCGGCACGCTCAAGCTGCGCTCCACCGACCCCCACGACGTGCCGCTCATCCACGCCAACTACTTCGCCGTCGACCGCGACCTCGACGTGCTCGTCGACGCCATCAAGTGAGTCCTTTAGGAGTTCGTCTTGCTCTCATTCTACGCAACTGCTGGCGCGTTCGTTCCATTGAACGCGGGGCGGGAAAAGGGGATGAGCGGCGATAGGCATGTGTTGACACATTGCCGGCCAAATTACTTCGAATTTGGCGCCTTGTCTTCTTTAACAGGGCGTTTGATGTTCTTTGAAGACGTTTCAAAGGAAAAGATTTTACATTTTAAACTTGGCGCCTTCGAGATAGACTTAATTTTCTCCAAAAAGCCGCGCGAATTCCTTCTCTGCCGACCAAACATTCATTTCTTCATGCAAAGTCCTTGGAGTCGATGATCAACTTCTTTCTATTAGTTCGGAGCGTAACGTTTTCTATTAGTTCGGATCGTAAAAGATCGCGCCAGCTCCTTGGATGGGTAAAAATTCCCGCTAAAATTGGCATTGTCGAAATGAGTTTTCTATCGCAGACGCCGGCTCGCCTTGTTACGACAAACTAATGCGGAAAACTGAGTAAAAGCGTTTTGAACGTCTTCAAGGTTCGACCCAGAGTGTGCCAGGCACTGGATGTAGTAGAAACACGTAGTTAAGGACCACGGATTCTCGTAAGGAAAGAATCAGTTTTCGTTTGGACAGAGGTAACAGTGACAACTTCTTCAATACTCGTTAATTCTTTCTCCAAGTAACAATCCTTGTCAGTCGTGTGTCATCTCTTTTCCAGAACACTCTTGTCTGAGAAAAACAACTGTAATGAAAGAGGCGATGTTCAATTGCCATTTTCCATCAACAATGCTCTCCCAACCTTTCTTCAACTATTTCGCCGCCTGAACAGCATGTAATATGCTTATATGCCTTAGAACGGTATATTACCTGAGATGGCTCACAATTGGCCCACTATTGAGACGATGGCCCACTATTGAGACAGGGTGGCCGCCCGTGCGAGTGGCGCTAGAGAGAGCGAGTGTAGTAAGGGTGGTGCCTTACCTGACGGCCACCTCCGACGCAAAAATGCAGGGGGGTGTCTTAATTGTTTCAACCTGACGCCTCACGAAACCAAGTCGCTAGCTCGCAAGCTCGACCGATCACAAAATAGACACAAATTTATCAAATAATGTTTTGAGCGCATAATTTGCAATTTGAAGGCTACCACACATCTGTGCCGGAAGGAGGCTATGTACTTCAATAATGTTCATTCCGAAAAAAAACCCCTTTTTGAACATTGAATATTATGACGACACCACGTTTCATTCTTTAAAACCACGAAACTTCCTGGACTGTGAGTTCTTTTCGCACAACGTATCTTTGAATGTCAATCACAATTTATCAAAAGAGGCTAATTGTCACGAAGATATCAGAAAACGCGTTACATTTTTCTAGTAATTCATAAACACGCAATCTTCATTCAAACATAAAATATTTCTTAACTCACATTCACGTGTCACGATTACTCGACGTTAATGACTTTACTGATAGCATAAAATAAACGTATTGACACTTTAAGTGTACGATGATAATGCTCTAAGAAACGCCGTAAACGCTCGTTAATACTGATAGATGATTTAGAAAAAATATTCTAGCTGCAGTATGTATTTAACGAAATCTCGAAAAGTTACTGCATTTTTGAACAAATTGTCGTATTTTTCCTAAAATGTACAATTGAAAAAAATTAAAATGAATTTCCGTTCTTTTGCAAGCTTAATAAACGTTGTCCATGAGTGAATCCACATTATTCACATTATCCGTAAACATTAGAACATTCTACTTTCATACTAAAAATATAACAAACATTCGGAAGTGACCTCAAAGATTTTCTTTTCAAATAACCGTTATCTTTCCTTTATACATTACAAAAATTGAGATACATGAATGTAATGAATTTTATTTGGTGTTATAACGTCACTCAGATGGGTTAGTGTTATTCGGCCATCCTCTGGACTATAAAACAGCTACTGTGTAGTACTGAAGATGAGAACGTCCAGATCGAACAGTACTTTGGCCAGCAAATAAACACATGTACTGTGAAATGCCTCATGTATCCATTTGGAATGATAACAAACCCCACTACTTCATATTTTCATATCGATTACCTTTATCAGCCTTGATCGAAGCCGTGGATTTTTAGGGCGACAAAATCCTTCGTACGCGTTCCTTCGGAGGGGAAGTAAAGCCAGCTGTCCCATGTTGGTAGATTTACTTGCATGTAAAAAATCCTCAAGCCTAAATGACGCCTCTGAGCTAAATTCGAATCGCTTGTTTGTCGCCCAAGAAATACCTCCTTCTCTGCTAGTTGATGAAAGGAGCGTAGCGAAATTTGCGTGGTCAGACGGAAGAGCGGGCCTGATGGCGCGAGTCTCGCCACGTAAAATAAGGCAAATTCAATTCAATTCGATTCGATTCAATCAGATCTCAAGAATTCAATATTTCTGCACTTGCAAATACGATATAGCTGTGCGTGTTGTACATCGCCCGTTGCTTTGCAGGTTCTCCCTGCGGCTGGCGCAGACCAGCCCCCTGCAGCAGCTGCAGGTGGTGCACGACACCACCCCCACCGCCGGCTGCGAGAGCATCGAGTTCGGCACGGACGAGTACTGGGCGTGCTCCGTCAAGTACCTCACCAACCCCGAGAACCACCAGGTAACCAACCACAACCTCATTCGTTCTCACATTTTTTTCTTACTACATTACATTGGATGAAGTAGAGGCGAAACAATGAAAACTTCCGAGTCTGTAATTGACTTCTTGCTAATTTCTCTCGTGAAGTAAGATAGATTACATCATGTTGGGACAGAAATATATCTTTTCTTTCCAAGCACGCCTCTCCTAAATTTTATAAATTGAAGTCTAGAGAGGAAATGAAAAATTTTAATTGATATTTAAAGAATTCTAGGCCATAAATGCATATTTTTAAAAGGGCATTTCACGAATTTTTGGCACATCAACATTCTCTCCCTCAATATTATTATTATCATTATTTTAGTCTACAAATTCTTGAAATATCCTCTTAAAAATAGGCATTCCTGACCTAAAAATGTTTAAATATGCATTTACACTTATTGTAAATGGAAATATTTCATTTCCTCTATAGCCCTTAATTTATAAAATTCAGGAGAAGCATGCTTGGAATGAAAATATATATGTACACGTAGGCTTCCGCGGCTCGAGTTCATGACGTCTAGGCTGTCCGGGTGACGCCGCGTCGTTGGCAGATAGGCCGACGTTTCTGCCTGAAGAAGCCTGCGACATGTCAGGCGAAACGTCGGCCTATCTGCCCATGATGCGGCGTCACCCGGACAGCCTAGAAGTATCATAAATACCTATTTTTTAAGAGGATATTTCAAGAAGTTTTAGAGACTAAAATAATAATAATAATAATAATAATAATAATAATAATAATAATAATATTGAGGAAGATAATTTTGATGTCCCAAAAATTCTTGAAATGCCCTTTTAAAAAGATGCATTTATGACCTAAAAATTTTGAAATATGCTATTAAAATTAACAATATTTCATTTCCTCTATAGCCCTTAATTCATAAAATTCAGGAGAAGCATGCTTGGAATGAAAATATATATGTACACGTAGGCTTCCGCGGCTCGAGTTCATGACGTCTAGACTGTCCGGGTGACGCCGCGTCGTTGGCAGATAGGCCGACGTTTCTGCCCAAAGAATATGTACACGTAGGCTTCCGCGCCTGGCAGTCATGAAAATATATATTTCTGTGCAAAAATACGCAGAGTTGAGAGGGCCTGGATTCCAATGCGCTCTTGTATTACCGACGACGCTCTCCCGCAGGCCGGCACCGTGTCCATGGGCACCGTCGTGGACTCCCGCCTGAAGGTGAAGGGCATCGATGGCCTCCGCGTTATCGACGCCTCCGTCATGCCCCGTGTGCCCGGCGGCAACGTCAACGGCCCCATCATCATGGTCGCCGAGAAGGGCGTCGACATGGTCGTCCAAGACAACGCCGCCGCCTCCAGCTAGGGCGCTTCGAGTAAATGATTTTTCCTTTGAAGAGAAATGCAATTGCTTCACTGGTTTTCGATTCCCAATTTCTTGTTTTGTCGAATATTTACTTCTTCTCATCGACGCTGAAAATGCCAAATATCTTGTGAATATAGAAAATTGCCTGTTGTTTTAACTCTTCTACAAAATTGTTCCCTCCTTGTTATTTAATAAAAATTGTTTTATATCAATAGTTATACTTCATTTATTGTATCTATTACAACACACACATTCTCATAACTTATAATCTCTTATTAATTACAATCAACACCACTCCGTCAATTTTCACAGGAAGAATAGTCAAGTTTGAACGATAATTGAAGTAAAACGGTATTTTGACAAATTACATAAAATACGTTGAGATTAGTTGAATATGTTGATCGATTTGATGGACATGTTCTCATCGTTACAACTTATTGCTACATAACCCGATTGCTATCAATCGCGTGCAGTAATATGTTTTCCAAGCTTTGTAAATAACTGTTTTGCACGTCTGGTAACTAAACTGTAACTAAAAAGGTTAATTGATGCGCGTATTCAATCCATTCATCTGATTTATATTCAATGATCTGGATAGGGCCTAGCGCGCGTAACAGAGAAGTCCATTTAAATGCCAGCGCGGAAAGGTTCCTGTGGTTTGAATCCGAGCCAGCGTCATGTCAATGCAATTTGAGCTTCGGGGGATGAAATTAGCATGAAAGGTAAAGAAGAACGAAATGGTATAACACATGCTATCGCTGTAAGATTGTTAAATTGTCTTTAACGCAATGTTTGAATCAATAGCTCAGTCAGAGCATCTTTCTGGACAATAGAAGGTCCATGGTTTGCAACCCCGGAGAGTTAAAGAATTTGCACTTCGTAACAACCATTTTCACGATAAATATACTTGGAGATGGTGACCAGAATAAAACTTCGTAATTATGGTAGTAGTAAAATCCTCTAGGCTTAATTTTTACCTTGATTCCATATGTTTTTGCTGTAATGAAAAATTTAAAGAATACCAGAAATATTACACGAAGTTTGTATTACTGAAATATTGTTTTTGATCAGAACGATTTTCAGAATATTTTCATGAAATAGCTTTCTTGTCAATGTGAGGAAAACAAGTTCTTACTGTCACACTCATTGAAGCAGAGTTCACGGACCGTCGCACAGAAAGAAGTACTTACTGGCGACATCAATGTGGCAAAAGAGACTACAGTGCAAAAGCTCATGTGACATGGTCTTCAGAGATGAGGAATAAATTTTTCTTTTCTGATGAGTCTAAATTTGATTTGCATGGCTTCGATGGAAAACAGACTGTTCGTTGCAGAAGGGGTGAAAGATTTTTGTCTTCATGCATTAGCCAAACCGTGAAACATACGATCTGACAAACGATCTGAGGATGCATTTATGGCCATGGGGTTTGGTAGTTTACACTTTTTATAAGGCTCTGTTACTAGAGGTGTCTATAAAAATATTCTTGAAAGAAAGCTGATGTCAACTATTAGGGGCCATTTTGGTGATGTTTCATGTTTCATTTTTCAATACTATTCATTTCCTTTCCACGGAGCTATAAATGTAATTCATGTGAATGCTATTAGTAAAGTATGAAGCAGAAGTTAAATACGAACGATTAGTATATATTTTTAGATGTAGCATTTCCTGCAAAAAATAGGGTGCAGGTGATAGACTGGCCTGACAATAGCCCTAATCTCAATCCCATTGAAAACTGTTGGAAGATGGGAAAAAGAAACACAGAAATAAAATAGAATGACTTGAGACTCTTGTGAATGTGTGTTTTCATGATTTGAGCAAGCAATTTATTAATAATTTAATTCTATTGATGCCTTAACGATGCCAGAAAGTAATCAAAGCACATGGCGATACAACAAAATATTAAAGGCATCTATGGATTTTCCTGATGCAATTGAAGTTACAAAAACTACAGTGCAGAACTGTATTTTGCTACAATAAATTGAATTTCCGGTCTTTTTTTCAACTTTCAAACATATTACTCATTTTTGCATTAAGACCCTACTTCTTTTATGAAGTTTTGAAACATTAAAAAACAGTATCATAATACTTAAAATGATAAAAAATGAATACAATTTGTTCACTTATGTTGAAATTCATTCTGGATATAAAATAGAGAAAAATGGATTCAATATTCAACAATTTCAGTTGAAAAACGTCATATGAGGAAGGCGATGCAATATTTTTTTCCACCACTGTACATCACGCTCCTGTTACGGTTCAAGTTCGAAACATCGCTAATGTTAGTTACTTCAGCAACTTACATGAGCCAGACTTGATGAAACAATGAATAATAGTGAAAGGAACTTTTAGTACTACATCCCGCTAATGATTGAATAACTACAGTAAATTGGCTAAAGTAAGTGGAGATTAACTGAGTGTGAGGCGTCTTGTTTGTTTGCAAGAAATGCTTTTGCAAAATAATGCGTTGGAAATTACGTATTGCACAGATTAAAAGTTCTCATACGCAAATCGCTAAAGCATTAGAAACATCTCAGCTTCAGCCTGTGCCCTGTTTAACACGTCTACTATGCCACATCCCCTCGAGGTAAATGGTGAGAAATTGGTGTCGGATTTTGATGACCTAAAACATGGCCAAAAATGATCAATAAAATGTTCTTAGAATGTTTTTAAAATAAAATCTAAGAAAAGCAAAGAAAAATAACATAAAGGAATGTGATCAAAATCAGTTCACATGTACAACTCAAGCTTTTGGATTCGTTACTGATGTCATCAAGGCTTCTTCTCCATTTTCAATGTTCGTGTGAACTAAGCTAAAAAATGGTGAGGACTGTTCTTTACCAGAAAACATCTATCTTTAGTTGTTCTGAAATAGACTGAAGCGCCAATGACGGTGATAGGCGACACAGGAACCTTAAATTACATACTCGCAACGGCTGACATAACTTCTAAGCGAATAAATCGAATAGGCTACCAGATATAGGTACTCATGAATTCTGTGAAGAACTTTTGTTGCATCTCGTAAATAAGGAGCAAGTACCAAGATATTTGAATCAAGTACCATTGAAATTATATTAAAATCGACGATATCAGCAAAAATGCAATAAAAATGATGGGAAAAGGTAAAAATTGACTTATTAGTCGAAAAATGCAAAAAATGACGTATAAAAATGGGTAATTTCCTTTTTTCATAACATAAAATGAATTTCTATACGTAACACCATTTTTATAAAGTGAAAAAAAAGACATTTCATGAAAATTCGCCCCGTAATGATAAAGTGCATTATTATTCGATTAAGAAAATGGTCCATAGCTTTCTGCAGCAACATCACGATGTTTTCGTAATTTTTTTTCTCACCGTTGTGATCTACAATAACATTTTCAGTGCCTCTTCTCAAAATAAGCACTTTGTTTCGTTGTGTTGCTAATTCATTGCGATATAGTTTCCTGTCGCAGTATCCGTTATAACACGTCCGGTTGTCGTGCTTTACTTATCTTCACACGGCGCGACCAAATATGGTATGTCTCGAGATATTTGCAGGAAGTAACAGGTTCTCTTCGGGTATGGTCATTCTTGTCTTGCCAGTCACTTGCTGCTTTCTGAATTACTTATTTTCCCTTTACAACACGAGCTTTAAAATCTTCCATATCAAGCCACTGTAAGGAAGTGGTAAGGAAACCATAAGTCACAGCTATTGGTTTTGATTTATTAGTGTTTCCGGGCTTCTGAACTGCTAAATTCATTCGTCCCGTACGTATAGTGCATTTTCGTTGTGTTTTTTTCGCGGGAGGTGACAGTGATATTCCACCCGTACACTATGTTTTGTAAGACCAAACTCTGCGACCAAAATGCAATTTTTCAACTTTCATAAATGAACTTTCTGCGCACCATAATGCGAAGTGAACACTTCACAGTTACCAGTTCTGCACTCACATTGTTGTTTGTTGGCTTCCCTGTCACGAGAAACACTTCTGAAGTCAGTAGTTCCCAGTTTGGTATCTGTGCGGATAAACGAGCCGTCAATCCTAAGTGAAATTTAAAAAAATTGAAGGGTTTGCGTGATTATAGTTTTTACTTTTTCGCGCTTAAGAAGGAACTTCTCAAGAGGAGAAAGTTATGTAATTCTGCGCGAAAAAAACGGCGAATTTTCGAGAGAAAACTCTTATTATATGGCCATGAAAACAAAAAGTGGATAAATCCATTTGCTAAATTTAGAAAAAAATCTCTAACACGTAGTGTAGCCGGAAATCAATGTTTTATGGCTT